GCCACCCTTCCCACCGCCCTCGCCGCCACCCCCACCGCCGCCCTCGCCGCTGCCCCCGCCGCCGCCGTCAAATATATTTCACTCAAATATATATCAACAGAGGAATTAGAAGGGAGTATTGTCATAGAAATTTAAAAATGTATATCTTTCCAGTACTTCACTTTTCAAAGCACGTCCAAGCACACTATTTTATCGAAATCAAACTTTTGTGAGGGTTTCTTAACTCCCTTTTATCTTTCTTTAAACAATGTCTTCATATTCCTACTCTTTAACAATATCATCTCTGTAACACTTTTCACCATCACATACTGTCTAAGATCCTTCCTCTCCGACAAACTCTCACATTTTGTTCTTTATCTAAGCAAAAGTACAATAAATAAAATAGTACTACGTGAGTATAATCTCTATTTATTTTTCCATCAAAATCGCTATCACGTTTATTTCTTTCCTTTCTTACTTCCTAGTAATTCCCCTACTTTTACTATCTGTTAGTTTACAGTTATTATTTTCTCCATTTCCTTGGTGTAGAGTTCCTCATTACTTTCTATCTACAATTGTCCTCATCTTTCCATCAAATGCTCCTAAATTTTCTCTTTAAAGCCAAATATTTATTGAATTCTTCCTTCTTCTTTAACCAGCGTCTATTATTATTCAACTATTTTCCCACTCTAAATATTGCTATAATATTTATATTTAATTTCTTCAAATTTCAGAGTTCTTAATGCTTTATTAGGCCAAAATGCAATATTTATATATCGAAAATATTTTTTTAAAAAATATTAATTTTATTGCCGTCTTAGCACGAGTCAAATTTTTCTAATTTTCTGACATTTGTTACTGCTTTTTTGAAGTATTTTCAACTAGTGAAAAATCTCTGCTTCCATTTATTTTTATAAACAAGCTAAGCATTAATTTATCAACAACATCATAAAAGTGAAGTAACCACTGTTAAATATTTTAATACAATGAATTTAAGAACAGTCAAATACAAATTATTTTCTAGTTTAAGGTGCCTCAGCTTTATAACTGTCCAATGATATATGTAAAACCAAACACAAGAAAAATATAGATTATTTAATTCAACCTATAATTGATTTTGATCATGTTCCACTGCTGTTACATTCATGTTAATACACATGAAAACTTGATTTTTATAATATTTCAAGTTAAGTGGTCCAAAAATTAATAAATCAAAATACCGCCATAAAATTTCTCATAAGAGGCAAACCATTTTGTTATATTTATTGATTTGATATGGTTAGTAATATTACTTAATTTGATTAGTTTTCAAAATATTCGCATTGCCATTAAAACAATACATGGCATTCTATCTGCATAACATACCTTTAATTTTCTCCCAGAATATCTTTACCATCTTCAATTTTTCATTTCACATCTCTTATTTTCTCTCCTACTGGTTTCCAGCTATTTCAGTCATTCCTGATGACCTATTTCTCCTGGATACTTTTTGTGTCGATTGTCCAGGTCATTACACCGGATAGTCCATAGAATATTTTATCCTTAAATACTAGCTTTAGTAGATATAATACACACTCAAATCACACGCAACATTTATATCACGACGTATATTAACGTTACTGCACCACACTTCACACTTACAACAACATCAACACACTGTGGCACGGACGAATTGTGTATGGTTTTTTCTTAGAAGACAAGTGAATATCAGAGGGCGTTAGTGCAGCTGGTAGACTGTTTATCAACGTACATATGGAACTTCTTTGTAGAGCGCGTGATTCAAAATTACATTAGATAATTGATACCTCCAAAATTATAGCAGTTTTAGAAAAAAAACATGATCATTTATTTAAACGGATCATTATTGTACAAAATTTACATTATTTACAACAAAATGGTATTTTCTTAAGGTGACAGGTTAATTTTTAGACATGAATTTATTTCAATAAATACATGGAATCTTTAAAAAAATATTAAGATCCCAAACTGTTAGTTTTATAAGTGCATCTTTAAATAAGTACCGATTCTAACAAGTATTAATTTACATCATGACCGGAAACGTTCGAAATGTTCATAAAGTGCACAGTGCCTGCCATTGATTGAATTTCTCTTCTGAACTTTGGTTTCGTCTCCCAAAACAGTAAATCCGGTCCCTAGTTATTAATGTCAGTTTAAACTCCGGACATGAACGTTTCAGAGGCTACGCCGTATTCTAATTCGAGATGATATTCCGAGTCGAGTGATCTCGCCCCACTGCGCGCTCCCACTAACTCGCAGCAGTTGGGGCGGCGCGCCCGCGGCTGCTACGTGCTCCGCCTACGCGCCGCCCGCCCGTCGCTTCGCCCTTCACTTCGCTCCGAGGCAATCGGCAGTCGCCTCCGCCCCGCCCGCCCCGCCCCGCCACGCCACGCCCCTCCCCGTCCCCGCACGCCCCGCACCGCCCCGCACCACACCCGCCCAAGCCCGCTCGCACACTTTTGATCTGCTTCGCCCCCGCCTCGCCCGCCCGCTCCCACCTTGCCGCCGCCCCTCCCCGCCACACTTTGAACCCTGCTTCGTTCTCGCCGCACCCGCCCCGCCTTCACCTCCCCAACCCCGTCCACCTTGCCCCACCCGAGCGCTCCCACCTTGCCCCACGCGCGCCTTCCACCCTTGCCCCCACCCCGCTCCACCTTGCCCCGCCCCTCCGCCACACTTTGTCCTGCTTCGCCCCCACCCCCGCGCCCGCTCCTCCTCTGCCCCGCCCCGCCCGTCCGAAGCAGCTACTCGCCTCGCCTCGCTTTCAACCTCGTCTGCTTCGCCTCTCCCGTCCTTCCTGAAGTTCCACGTCCACCCTTCTCGCCCATCAGCCTACCTGTGACCCGCCACGCCTCGCCATGCTTCATCTTACTTCACCCCTTTCTTTGGTCCCTCCCCGCTCTCAGCCCCTTTCCCACTCCCACTCCTTCCCCGCCATTCCCGCCCAGTCAGCGTCCCCGCTACGCCTCGTCTCTTCTTTGCTTCACTCCTCCCTGTCTCTCACAAAGCATTCGCCTCCCTGCCCCGTGATCCCAGGCCCCTCACCGTCTGACTGCGCGCCCGTCCCGTCCCAACTCGCCACGCCTCCCCTCACCATCGTCTTACTTCGCCTCTCCGCGTCCTCCAAATCTCCCGTCCCACCCCTTCTGGCCCCATCTCCTCACCCTTTTCCGCTCTGACTCGCCACGTCTTCGCGTGCTTCATCCTTTCTTCACCCCATCTTGTCCTGCGCTCCCCGCTCCTACGCGCCACGTCCCTGCCCACTCAATCCCCCGCCATTCCCCAACCCCGCCCATCCCCCATCCACCCACGCGTCGGCCTCATCTTGCTTCAGTCCTCCCCGTCCTCTCACAACGATTTCGCCTTCCCCCGCCCATTCCCCACCCTGCTCCGTCGTTCCAACTCGCCACGTGCCTCGCCTCATTTTTGCTTACAACCGTCCTCCAACCGCCACTCCCCCTCTCAGCACTTCCTCACTCTTCCCGCTTGCCCCATCCCGTCAAATCTCAGGCCTCGCTTCGCATCATCTTGCTTCGCCCCTCCCAACAGCCTCTCGCCCCGCGCCCCTACCGCCTCCTCCCTGCCTTCCCGGTCTCACGTCCCGTCTCATCCACCAGGCCTCACCTCACTCAAACTAGCTTTTCCAACATACTGCTCGAACCTTCCGACGCCTCCCCACCCTCCCCTGCCTGCCCGCCCCACCCATCTGCGCCTTGCCATACCTCACCCCGCCCACCACGTCCCGCTCCACCTCGCTACTCCGTCCATGCTCCGCCGCAGCGCCGCTCCCAGCTCACTTCGCTCCGCTTTACTTCGCAGCACCTCTCCGCAGCCCGCCCCACCCCGCCACAACTTGCCTGGACCTGCTCTACATGCCCACGACAGGTCCCTCTCTTCCTCGCTCCGTGGCCCACGGCATCAAATGAAGTCACTGCTGATGTGCCTTTTGCCACGAGGTCTTAGGTATGAGTCCCGACGGTGGAGAGGTTTCCGACACTGGATACATAGGTAAGTCCAGTTCTGTAGCTGTCTGCAGGAAAACTTAAACGGCCTGCTACTCTGATCGTTTTTTTTTTGTTGTGGTATCTCTAATCAATACGAGGCAAATGCCGGGGCAGTACCCGAACAAATGGGCCACGGACAGCTCACGATTAATCCTTCTAATTCCTTGCCCTTCACTACCTTTTATTTATGCAGTCTTATTCTTAAATGAATTGCACTACCACACGTGCCGGGAGACCGGTTGGACGGTTAGAGCTTGTCCCGGCTGGGACGGTGCCAAACAAGTGGAAGATCCCTGGTTGAGGAAAACCCCGTTAGCCGACGGTAAACCGGTGGCGGATCTCCCCGTTTTAAGGGTGCCATCTCCTGAGGAAAACATCATGATATACACTTACTGGACTTACGATCTTAGCAGCTGACACATTTGAAATCAGTAATATTTTAATCAATCGACTTGATTCCCTCCCCCCGTCCGCTTTTCTTTGTTCGTCCCGCTCCCCTCCACCTCACCCCGCCACGTGCCGCTCCGCCTCTCTCCGTCTCGCTGCGCCCTTCCCCGTCCCGTCGCGTCGCGTCGCGTCAAAGCGACTCCCCGAGGGGCCCCGCCAACTGCCGCTGTCGAAATCGTGATCTGCCAGCACCAAGCCGCTTTGCTTCGGTCGTACTAACAGAAATTTCCCTGTCAACGGATCCGTCTGCAGCCATGCTCGCGGCGGGATGTTCCTTGGTTGGATGGTGGTGGTGGCAATCGTGTGATGCTGATGCAATAGTAGTGGCAATGTTGACGATAGTATTTGATTTATTGATTGATTTATTGATTGTTTTATTGATTGATTATTTAGTATGATAGAATGATAGATGATTGTCAATATCATGATCGTTTGTCCCGCTAGTCTAGTTAATGTTTTATTTTTAGAGTTGGCGGTGTTCCATCCCAATTGAAACGTAGTTTCGGTGCAGACCCACACATAGTCTCACCGGGTTTTCCCTCTTCATGTATCTCCCCCAGCGAGGCACTGCCCCCAGTCAGGAAAAATCTATGCTCTCCATATAGGAGGAGTATAATGCACGTAAATGCATGTGTGTTAAGGGAGAGGAGGGGCAGTGATTAAAAAGAAAATCGTTCGCGTTCAGTGGCCGTTATAGTACTGCTCGGGTATTCCCCTGGTATTGATCAGAAAAAAATTGAAACTACCTATTAATGCACCTAGCGTCAAGAAGAGTTTTTCTACAGGCATTGGCATTGATTGAGGCGTGTCTAAAATCCATTACACGCCAAACCTAGTGTCTCCTCGTTAGCAATATTGCTTAGAATATAGCAATGCCACCCAGAGAGGAAACAAGAGGTTTGGGGGCATTCTATCCACAGGGGTCTCTTATTTCCAACAAAAACCCCCCTTTCACTCATAACATTAGTAGAGTTAATTTCTCCATACAACAGAAATAACACTTAGCCGTTAATTTCAATGCAAATATATTTTAGTGTCGTAAATATTATAAAAAAGATTGTCAGGCCCCGATTAGCTTCCTTGCAACACTGGACAACGACTAAAGTGTCTTTGAGCCATCTCAGCCGAAGCTGGTGTTGGTGGTGATGGTCGTGTTGCGATTATGGGGGGGGTTGAGATACCGGTGGAAAGGAAGTGGAGATAATCAATTTGTGGTATTTGTGGTGCGATGAATATTGTTAAGATGATTGGGTGTTCGAAAATGTAACGTGAGAAAGTTAACCTACTGACTATCGAGGTATTTTGCACTCGTCGTATACCAAAAGGGTAACAAAGTTACCTCATGGAAAATTCAATATTGTTTGAATATATTTTAATAGTAAAAGTCATAACATTGTTGAGGGTATGCTGATTGAACATTATTTTGAAATAATAATAATGTACTTAGCGATTAAAACAAGATATTTTACATAAAAATCTTCGATCACGACCACGAGGTCTCGAATACCAAATAATGACATATTTAGAACAAATTGTAAAATTCGTATTGTCTCTTTGACGAGATACGATTCAACAGTTTCTGAACTGATGAATACGTCATCATTCACGTTTTCCTCGTCTTCGGCACAAATAATATTGTCAATTTTATCTATAACGTCTCCATTATCATCACTTTCACACGTTGCAAAGCAGTTTGAAAGTGTTACATTGTTTTCCCTCTCTGTAACAATTTTCCAAGATTTTTGAAAAAAATGTTTACTATCTTGGGCGTGCCACGTTTGAAATGCATACTATCATTTATTATTTTATGCCAAGGACAGTTTTATGTTGCTTTATTTGAGAGTAGGTACCAAAATTGAATTAATTTAGTCCCTTTGGGTTAACAGTGCTTAATAAAAAGAAAGTTTAAACATATACTTTTCATTCTTCATTCACAGTTGTCGATTTAGAATAAAAATAAATAAAACAATACAAGACATGTGTGGTCACAATTCCACTTATCGGATGATCTTTGGGATTATTGTCAGTACACCCTCAAATATTGGTGCTGAAACCCAAC